AGGCGGGGCCTCGGGGCGGGGCGGGGCCTCGGGGCGGGGCCTCGGGCGGGGCGGGGCCGCCCACCGCGCGCGTGCGCGCAACCCGCGCACCTCCCTCGCCGTCTCCGCCGCCTCCGCGTTAGTTGAGGCGCGCGCTTCAAACCTGGGGTGGTGGAGTCTTGGCCGAGCAGGAAGGGTTGGGTGGTTGCCGCTGTAGGAGGAAGCGGTGGAGGAACTACGCCGGGGCGACTCCACTACGGGCGAGGAAGCCTGTGGCGTCGGGGCTTCCCGAGACCGTGGGAGGAGGCTTGCTTCACGCCAGAGACGGGAGCACGCGGCTCTCTAGTTCCTGGCCGCTTGCTCCCGGGGCCGCGCTCCGCTGACTCAGTGACTTGCGTGTGCAGGATGACGCCACCAGCACCCGCAATGGGCAACCTCAGCGGAGGCTTCCTTGTTTTAGGGGTTGATGTGTGTGCATTGCTAAAGGAAGTAGTGCTAGACATCCAGATACTTAATGGAAATTGCCCGAAATTTGTGCCTACACTTTTTTTTTTAATTTTTTTTTAACTAGGCTGTGGACTATTTAAATTCACTAATGCGATGTTGGAAATGATTGTTTTTAGCAGGAATCGCCTGGTTTCCTCCAAGTCAGACTGCCACCCACAATCTTCATAAATCAAAGCAGGCAAGCTTATAGAGAACGCCCTCCCCTGGAAGGGTCAAGAATAGATGAAATAAATGCAGACTGCACTTAAGCTCGTTTTCCCAATTTTAGCAATATTCAAGGTCGTTTTCCCATTGGAAACTATAGGGTCGTTTGGGACAAAAGCAAGCAACTTACAAAGTGTGACCAGCCACAAGGCTTCCTGGCCCAGCTTCTAGTGCATTAGCTTTGTCATCCCACAGGACAACAGCAGGATTTTTTTTGTAGCAATAATTTGGACACCCCAATTCTCACTGCCTGTCGGGGAGGTAGTCGCTCCATACAGTCTCCACCACATTCTAGCACAAGCAATTGGTATACTTTTCCATCCAGTGTAAATTTGGAGTTCAGAGTGCAGCATAATGGCTAACTGCACAGTCTTTGAATCCACAAAAATCTGCTCGATTCTAGTTTCATGACCTTGAATAAGATACTTAATTCTCTGTCTCATCTGTTAAAATGGCACTGACAATATAGTATATATAGAGTTGTTACCTGGATTAAAGGAGTTGATGTATGTAAAGCATTTATTCTGCTTGGCTCATACATAGTGAATAATAACTGATACCTATTATCTTTGCAAATGCAAAAGCTTGTTTCATACTCAGTTTGCCTTGGTAAACCTTTCCCAGTCACTTCTAGTGCCTTTCTGTTTTGTCCTCAATCATTGAACATGTATTTTGAGAGTCTATTAACTACATGTACCAATTATGGAAATTAAGTCTTCTAGTCTTTATTGGTCTAGTTGTTTTTTTCTTTTTTAAAAGATTTTATTGGCAGATTTTATATATATATATATATATATATATATATATATATATATATATATATTCTTGCTACCAAGAATGTGACCTTTAGAGTTAGCCCAGAATTTGAATCTTGATGCTGCCACTTATTAGTGGTGTGACTTTAGGCAAGTTACATAGGTAACCTCTCAGCTTCAATTTCCACATCTGTAGAAAGCGGAAGATAATAGTACCTGCTTCAAAGGATTGCAGTGAGAAATAAATGGGAGATTAGATATATAATATACAATTTATATGTTATATATATATATATATATAATCTATATATAACAGTAATTTAGTTTCCTTTTCCATATATGAACCATTACTTGTATATAAATATGGGCGAAAAACAGAGTGGAGATTTGGCTCTTAAGTGCCCCTTAAAAGTTCATGCATGTCTATAGATAATACACTTGGGAGTTCTTCCTCATTAGTTAAAAGTGACATAGATCTTTGTGAATCCAGACAATTGGGAGGAAGCTTGTGGTTTCATTCTATGGAAATCCATTGATGTAATCTTCAAAACACTCACAAATCTGGAAACTGACTCATAGATTTTTTTTTCCTTTACCCAATTTCTCTACAGATTGTCCTCTCACTAAAAATGCCAGAACGACATATGATTTCATATGTGGATAGGTTTTCAATGGCCCGGTGCAAGAGAAAACCTGCAGGCCTTGGGGTCTGTATGCAGCAGAGGAAAAGGAAACAGGAGTCTTGTGACTTAAATGGCATCACTTGTCTCCTACCATTATTCCATGCCCAGCACCCTTCATGGCCTCTGTCAACCTGTGTGCTGAGACCCTTCAGTCCACTCTCAGACATGGGATCTCCACATCCCTTACAGACCCTCTTGGTGGCAACTCCCAAAGGATTAGGGGGATTTGCCCATTTTGATTTCAGCTTTGGAATAGTACCTAAGCGTCACGCCAGTGTTTCACATCCTTTCTTCACAATGAATCATCCACGGCAAGAACTTACTTACTGTTTAAATCCATTGATTCACTCATTCATTTAATCATTAACAAATATTTATTGGATGTCCACCTTGTGCCAGGCTCTATGCGAAACACTGTTATAGGTTGGTTTTTAATTTTTTGTTTTTATTAAGGCTTTCTTATTTTTTTTTAGAGCAGTTTTAGGTTCACAGCAAAATTACAGGGATGGTACAGAGATTTCTCATATACCTTTTGCTCTTATAGCCTCTCCTATTATCAGCGCCTCCCACCAGATGGTACATTTATTACAACGAATGAACCTACACTGATATATCTTAGTCACCCAAAGTCCATAGTTCACATTAGGGTTCACTTGTGGTGGTGTACGTTCTCTGGGTTTAGACAAATATGTGTTGAATGGCATGTATCCATCATTATAGTATCATACATAGTATCTTCACAGCCCTAAAAATTCTCTGTGCCCCATCTGTTCATCCCTCCTCCTTCCCAACCCTTTGCAACCACGGGTCTTTTCACTGTCTCTATATTTTTTGTATTTTTCAGAATGTCATGTAGTTGGAATCATACGGCCTTTTCTGATTGGCTTCTTTCACTTAGTAATAAGCATTTAAGGCTATTCCATGTCTTTTCATGGCTCGACAGCTCATTTCTTTTTAGCACTGAATAACATCCCGCTGTCTGTATGGACCACAGTTTATATATCCTTTCACCTGCTGAAGGACATCTTGGTTGCTTACGAGTTTTGACAACTGTGAGTAAAGGTGCTATAAACATCCATGTGCAGGTTTTTGTGTGGGTGTTAATTTTTCAACTCTTTTAGGTAAATACTAAGGTGTGAGATTGCTGGATTGCATGGTAAGAGTATATTTAGTTTTGTAAGAAACTGCCAAACTGTTTCCCAAAGTGGCTGCACCCTTTTGCATTCCCACCAGTAATGAGAATTCCTGTAGCATCTGGAGTTGATGGTGTTCTGGATTTTGGATAGGATAGTTTTTGTTTTTTTTTAAAGTAAGTTAAAATCATGACTCTCAACAAATGTACAATGAACACATGTCAAAGATTTTAGTTAACACATTCGTGAACAAGGGAACCAGAAAGGTGTTATGACCACTTCAAAGGAGAATCCAAATACAAGATAAATATGTAAGCCCAGGAGGATGCTGAAATGAATTAGCTTAATAAAAGCAAAACTGGCTTCTTCCACAGTGGAGGAAGGAAATCAATTGAACCTCCACCTGAAATAATTTACTTACTTATAATTATGAGTGATGTGCATTGCTATCAGTTTTCTACGACTTCTATCAGAGTTGCAAAATAGCCAAATCAAAGACAATGAAAATCGTAGACTAACCCAGATAGATGAGCTAGTTAAGATACCTATTACATTTCAGTCATTGTCAATTTTCCTTATAGTGCTTAGAGTACAAGGTAGACTAAACCCACTCTCTGCTTCTGGCAAGGAAAGGGATGGGTGAGTAATCTGTTGGCAGCAGGAAGGAAGTGTGAATATACCGAGGATAAAGTACCAGATGGAGCAGCAAGAGAAAAAAAATTCCTCACATACAAGGGAAATCTCCTGATGCTATCAGCAGACAGCTTAGCAATGCTTCATGAGATGGAAGACATTCACATGTGCAGCACACTCTCTTTCCTATTTAAGGAGACATCTGAGCACTAGTTTATGACAGGAAATACACTAGGTATCATGATAGATATGGCATCATGACAGGAAGAGTCTTGAATCAGATTTCATATATTATCTACAAAGCAAACCATTGAGAAACTCTGATACTTAAGTGATTAGTGCTAACAAATCATTGGGGACACATTTCAACAGAAGGGAGGAACCGCAGTTGAGGTGATAGTTCTCATGATCATGAGATACTTTGTTGGGGTTTTCAAAAGGGTACTAACTACATTAATTCACCCAATAGTCTTTTGACCTTGTGACAGTGACAACTGCATTGGGCTACAAGGCAATGGATGAAGAAATTAATTCAATAATATTTACCAACTACCAATCAGCGCTCTCTTAGGGTGTCAGAGGGATGCAGGCCACACCAGTATTCTTTACCTTTGGCTACACATAAGAATCACATGAGGTCGTGACAGTTCCTCAAAAAGTTACACATAGACATGCTCAGAAGGCCCCGAGAGAGCTTCTGGGGTATCTTTTTTAAGGACACTAATCACCTCCCAAAGTCTCCTTCTCTAAATACAACCCCATTGTGGGGGAATAGATTTCAACATATGAATTTTGGTAGGGACACACATATTCAGTCTGTAGCAAAGATGTTAGATAATAATAGCTAAATGGGGCCCTATTATGATGCTTGTACAGGAAATAATGATTCTACTCTCTGCCTATGAATTTCCCATGATACCATGAGTCATTAGGTATGTGGGCATTAGGATTGACCAGAAACAAGACCAAATTCCCCAAACAGTGTCATTACTGGGTCAACTACAGTAATCACTACCAAGATTGGCCTCACTGATTAAGATAAAAATCAGATGTTCTATAGGCCAAAGGTGATTTGTAGCCAGGAGGACCTAGGTTTGAGCATTAGCAAAGTAACCTTGAACCTATGAATCCTATAAGATGAAGATAAGTCATGTAGATCCTGACTAACTTACGGAATCATATTGTGAAGATCAAATAAGATCGCATATGGAAGTTTTTTGTAAATTGTTGTTAGTCTGGGAAGTTCACATAAGAGAACTGGTCCCTGGCCTGACAATAGTATTGGAAGATGTGGTCCATGTTAAGGAATGGGACACAGGGTGGTGAGATTACCAAAGCAGATGCTTTTCGGGGTTGGTCAAAGCTGGGTTGGAATTTTTACTTTAACACCTATTATATTATTGTGGCCCTTTATAGTAAGCTCACTTCACCCATTCATAAAAATGCAGTTTCATACCTACGTAAGAGGGATATTATGAGAATTAGTGGAGATATTTTTTAAAAGCATTAGCACTGTGCCTAACAGAGTAGGTTATTAACAAATAAGTTCTTTCCCCCCTTAAACCTGCATTACAATTGGCAACTGTTTTCAGTTCACACTTCTGCCCAGTCCACACAGTCAACACTTCTGCCTAGAAATTATATACTAAGGCTTTGGATCAATCCATTTTTAAAAATCCAAGAACATACCATAAAGAAGACAAATAAATTCTCTAATTTTCTACCTCAGAATTCAAAGAATGACATGAAGGGTGGATACCTGGCTTGGTTTCTAAAATGTTTGCTACTCTTGAGAAAGCGATGGTAGAAAACGGGAAGTGGGGAGTTTGGTGGTATTAGAAGGCCTGATAGGACAAGCTCCTTTAGATTCATCCCCTTCCGCTCATTCAACAAAGTTAATGGGGGAGGAAGAAACGAATGAGTTTTACTGAAGAATTGGGGAAAAGAGGAGAGGGATAATTTTTATG